TAATTTATATGTCTGCCAAGAGTAAATCCATCTGTGCGCAAATAGTAATATTACTTGCCAAACACGCTAAGTTGTTTTCGACCGAACACGAAAGCCTCTAAAAGGCGGATTTCTTATAAGAGTGCCTCTAATATTTGCCCCGAATAGGTCCTACACAGGGGGGGGGGCCTTAGCCAACACCCGAGATATGTTTGTAGTCAGTATTCTAACTTACTAGAAAGCTCAAAAATTTAAGTGAACAAATTCGAGGACAAAAATTATTTAAACAATTTTGCACACACACACACACATTTTGGCCTAAAACGCACTAGAAAATTTAAAGCTAAAAAATCGTAAGGCCACCCCTTAGAAAAAGGAGTATTTGAGATAAGAGAGAGATTATTCATCTCGGAGGAGTGTCATGCCCCACCGATGTTTGTGACGAATTTTCATCCCCAAAACGCCACTCACCTCAACTGAGTTCAATTCAGCCCGGCACACACCCTTTTCCTGCGAGGGAGCTTCCGGGGCGTTATTTGGGACAGGATTGTTCACTCCTTAAAAAAAATTATATGGGCATATATATATATATGGATATATATATATATATATATATATATATATATATATACCTAGATGCATATATATGCTCATACTTACACACCTCTCTCCCAACTCACTACAACTACAGGCACAACTTCAGCTCCCTATTGTTCTTCCTCCTATTTAAGCAGTGAGTTTTGAGTTTTAACTCAAACGAGGAAAATTGCATAAAACACGTAGAAAAAAAAGTGAAACAATGCTAATCTGAAAATTAACACTCCTTATGGGAAAAAAAGAATTTTGCATGAAATTGGATTTTAATTGTGAAATAGACAATTATTTTTTTGTCAGCAGATAGGATTTCACTGCCTCCTTTGTTATGTAACACTTTGGTGCAATTTAAAGACAATGGAATAGTTGAACAAAGTATGCATGTTAATATTGTGTTACAAAGAGAGCCAAAAAAAATCAAATTTAGGGGAAAATGGAATGTCTCAGAAGCTCTATGAGAACACAACACGAAGTGAAATGCTGAAATGCAGGGATGAGTGTGAAGAACTTCACTCCGAGACAGCGGTGCCCAATTTCTCGACTTTCAATTTCATTAGCCAATCAATAATTCCGATTAGAAATTTTCATCTCCTATGTCCTTGAAGGCTTCTCTATGATGAAAGGTTTAAAATGTGAAATAAACATACGAAATAGGTATCTTTAAGTAACAAAAAAAAACAAATAAAAAATAATTGTAGTGTTGTGGGGAGTGGTATTCTGCTCACACGGAAAATTCGACTTTGAGGTCAACTGGTGTATTCAAAGATCGACGTTGGATTGGACACCGTGATGTCTGTTGACTATGAGGTTTGGAGATAATGACCCTCTGGAAAACATCTATTCCACTGATAGTGTATCGTAGGGATCATTCTTAAAATAGACAGAGTATATGTAGACAAGACCATAAATCTATTAAGCTAATATATTACAAGTCGGTATGTTAATTAATAATATAATATCCATAATCTCAAGAGGAAATAGTGATAACCCTGTGCATATGAAAGCAGGAGGAACTGATCGATTTGACTACCTGAAAGTGAAGTGCCTGTCATTTGTCGTACAAAATGCGCGCGTTTTCTTTTTCTTCGCTAAATTACTTGCTCTCTTGGAAAGAAAATAATTTGAGACTTGCCCTTTGTAGCAATCAGCATCACACTTTAACTGGAATGAATGATTTGAGCAAATGGGTGGAATATTCAATTAATATCTTTTGTTTACATTCAAGCAAAGCGAAATAAGTAAATTAAATTAGATTGTTTTAAGTTACTCACAAAAACGTGTCACATTCTATTGCACCTATTTAGTTATATATATTAAGCATATATAAAACACCCGATTAATGCCAACTTGAAATTTCATCAAATCGATTCTTCAATCTTTCCTTTAGAGTAACTGCTTTATATTATTGGTAATCAATAAATTTATACTTTATTTTGAAGAGGAAGTGAATGGGGGGGGGTTCGATTCACTACTGTTAAAAAAACATGCAAACATTTGGCCCCATTGTCCAAGAGAAATATTTTTTGAACACGGATCACAAGGAATTTTTATCACTTCAGTCCATGTTGAAGTACCCTGAAATTCCATAGGATTTTACGACGCTATAACAACGAGAATAGTTTGCTTTGGAAGAAAAACAAATTCATTTTAGGACTCTTAAACGACTGATACCTCTTAAAAGGTATTCCCTAATCCACCTCACTCGGCCGCAGAAGGATGCAGATGTAAACCAACCAATGAAATTGGAATTTAATAATTTGAATATTATGGCATTTAGTTAGTGTCCTGCACTATTTATAATGATTTGGGGTTTCAAGTGCTTTCAGAAATAAAGAAATAAAGATAATTTTGGCTGTCTTCTTTTGGGCTATTTCCTTATTTCGTGACTTACTGACATTTGTCTTCCTACAATTGAAATTAGGAAAAGTATTTATCCAGCCACACAAGTTAGTAATCATACCGAATGCCATGACGTTCATTATTAATTTCATTCATAAATTAAAAGTACCGTACCCTTTTTGTTTTGGAATGAAACAGTCATTATACCCAAATGCCATGACTGTTATCTGATATTTACGCAATTATCTCACCTTATTATTTTGCGAGGGTTGTATGAAAACTTAAAATTGGGAAAAAATGTTTTGTTTTTTTTGCATCTTCTTGCATGAAAATAAACTTGCTGCTAGTGGAATGACAAAGTGACTAGGACAAAAAGTTGATTGTTTTTTCAGTTTATTATGAAAGCAAAATTGATTTTAATTTTTAGACGCTAATTTTTTATGTTTCATTGCAATTTTATTTTTCACACTGGCATTTAAAAACAGAAAGAAAAAAAATAAGTTTTCAGTTTAGTTGTATTATTTTTTCCCATCAGAATTGCAAATATACCTCGTTATTTAATCATAAGTACATTCAAGTCAGTCTTTATTAATAAGTTAATTAATATGTGCAAATATAGATTGCATTTTAACGCGAATTAGGCCTTTTTACGTATAAAAATTTGGCCAATTTCAATAGTTTATGAAGATATTGCATCATTTGATGAAAATCCGTTTACTCAGTCTGTCATTCAGACCAAAATACAACTGACATGTGCTATTAAAGGGCACAATTTTGCACGAAGCAGTGGGGTAGGCGAAGTTGGCACATCCTTGACGTAAGATTAGGATTACTTTAACGTGTTTTTTCAAGTTAATATATATATATATTTGCGTCTTTTGTTGATGATGTCTGTACATCCATCTCTCTCTCTCTCTCTCTATCTCCCTCTCACTTGTGATTAGCTTTTGATTGCATCTATGGGGGACACAATTTAACTAGGCAAAATGAACTCGCCAATGAAATGCAATATTCAGTCACCTAGAGTTATTTGCTCTATTTTGGCTAAATTTGAAAAGAAAGCTTGAAAATTCAAGCGAGATCTACATTGGAAATGAAATTATCCCATCCGCCACGTTGATTGAGAAGAGAGAGAGAGAAAGCCCAGGGAAGGAGGAAGGGAAACAGAAGCAAAATGCAAAAAAATCACAGACTTTGATGTTGCTTTTAACGCCCCCTTCCTCACCCCCCCCCACCCCTTCCCCCC